TTGAGATAAAGGATACACCAGATACAGTTAAGTCTGCCTCATATCTTGACTTACATCTAGAAATTGACAATGAGGGCTGGTTAAAAACAAAACTTTATGACAAAAGGGATGATTTCAGCTTCCCAATTGTGAACTTTCCACTTATATGTAGTAACATTCTAGCAGCGCCTGCATACGGTGTATATATCTCCCAGTTGATAGATATTCCAGGGCTTGTATTTCCTATCATGATTTCCTTGATAGAGGGTAGCTGCGCACAAGGAAGCTATTAAACCAAGAGTTCCAAGTGGTGAAGTTGAAGTCATCTGTTCAAAAATTTTACGGACGCCATCACGAGTAGGTTGACTGTTATCAGATGATAGCGGATATGTTCCAATTGTCGTAACTATAATCCCGTCCCCCTTTACCCGAATGTGACCTACCGAATTAGACTTACTACCAGGTTTGTACTAACATGAGCAACACAACAGGTGTATCATGTGGAGCAGGTTCTGCTTACCCTTCCGGAGCACCTGAGATCACCCCCAGTTTTTGGTGGGGTTTGTGTGGCTCAGTCTTTGGTTTTTTATGTTGTGTTATGTGTACTGTTGTTTGTCTGTTGGCCTTTTTTTTTTTAGCAGTGGCGTTGTCAGTTTATTTTTGACTTATGAGTTTGAATGTCCCTTTGGTATCTCTCGCCTCTCTTGGTAAGGGACTCTCCTTGAATTTTCTTTGGAGTTTGGTATTTTTGTTATTTTACTTTTTGTTAAAATTGTGATTAGGTCAGTTTGAGGGGAACCACTTACTAAGTATGGTAAATCAATGACATTTGATATTCATTTGTATAAGCTTTGGCACATTTCTTTTTCTTGGGGATTATTTGGCCCTGTCCCCTCAGTCATGGTCTATTGACTTTGAAACTTTAGCATAGTTTAAATGTTAAAGATTGTGGTTAGGTCAGATTAAGGGAAACCACATAAAACGTAATAATAATAAGTCAATACAATTTGGTATGAAGTTGTATAAGCATTGGCACATCTCATTTCCATTTAGATTATTTGACCATGTGCTATCATTCATGGTTCATTTACTTTGAATATTTTGCATGTTAAGTATTGCTACTTAATTTGAACAATATAAAAAGGTGAGACTTATCTTTGTGTTAACAGTTTATTTTTCCTTTTTTTTTTTAAGAATCTTCAGATTTGAAGTTCGATCAGAAATAAGGAGAACACAATTTCTTGTTAGAGTTGTCCGATAAGCAAAATCCTCGACTTGTAATTGTATTTCAATAGTACTGTCAGGTAGTCGTGTTATTCTCTGTATAGTTTTTGTATCATTGAGATCATGTATCCAGAAAGTATTCTCAGAACATTGTAGTATCTGTGAAATTATAGCAGTTCTGTAGTGTACTCTTCAATGGCTTCTATTTTAAATGTCTTTATGAATCTCTTCTTGCATTGATCCAAAACAAGTCAGAAGGATCTGCCCGGGGACAAAAGTTGGCAGTTGGCTAAAATTCAGATTAACTTTTGGCATCTCCTTAAAATTACCTAGTGATTTGGTATCTTCAAGGAATTTTGACACATCCTTACACATGCTTATACCTTCTATAAGTTGAATTTCCTCAAGAAGATGATCTTCAAAATTTGTCACTTTCCTACATTCAGTTTCAATGGCTTTCACCTTAGCTTTCCATTGTTTTTTATTTTCACTACCAAGCTCTTCAGCATATTGATCTCCTGCTTCTCTCCAAACTTGTTTCTGCTTTAAAATACTTTTTTGTGTTCGTTCAGTCTTCAACTGTTCTATTTCTTTTATTGTGTTTAATATCTCAATATTATTTATCCAATCATCATGCTGTTTTTCAAGCTTTTTCTTCCTTGCTTTCAACTCATCCATCTTCAACCTTAAAGCTTCATCAATCTCAACTAATTCATGCTGTTTATGAATTTTAGTCACTCCAGTAGGACAGACTAAGTGATCACAAGTTTTACAGAACAAACAGCAGACTTGTCCAGAATGGCCTTTACACTGAATGTCACTGAAGTCCAGTTTTTGTCTTGTATCATCTCTGTGAAGTCCTACTTCCTTAATTGTAATAATTATATGGTCTTTTGCCTTTTTAATCTTAGAATGAACTTTGTTTTTACATTTATCACAAAGAAAGAGATTGCAGTCTGTACATTTCCATTGAATTTTAGTGTCAGTTTCACATAGTTCACATGTGAGGAGCAACTGAGCCTTTTGGAATGACTTTGACGCCATTTTTAGTTAAGTATCTTGGATATGATTAAGAATCCTAAGTTGATTAGTGTATCGTAGTAGTTTTGGTCGGGTATTTTATTTAAATGCAATATTTAAACAAACTTAACACAGGTTATCTGGTGCATTCAAGATAATTCTATATTTTTGTTCGTCATCAACATTTAACTGTGGTTAAAGTTTTTTAGACATCAATGACATTGACCAAACTGTATGACGTGTAATGAAACTTTAAACAAAGGTTCATGACCAAGAAACAATATTGAAAGCAATTTTTTTTTCTTTTTATTTGTTTAATAGACACAGTCATAAAGTTTTTATCAATAATCTTTTGCAAACCTTCATGGAATTTCAGGAATCTTTTATACAGAAGCTTCTTCATAATCAAGAGATACCATGGCATCTAAAGAAAAATTATGATTTTTAATTTTTTTTTATTCTTCTTTTTGTACTTTACTGTGGATTTTTTATAAGTATTTTGCAGTTAGAATTTAATTACAGTTTGTTGTTAGTGTTTTTTAAATTAGAATTACTTTATCAAACCTGCATGGAATTTTACTGAAAAATAATGATGCAGACTTCATACAAGAGGTTCTTGAGAAAAATTCATAGAATGTCATTATCCTTTAACTTCACTGTCAGCTAGATAGATAATATCTTTTCACTGAATTATTCAAAGTTAACTGCTGTTATCAAAATGAACTAGAAACAAAGCATACCACAGATCAAGTTGACTCTGCTTCATATCTTATCTTACATCTTAAATAGACAATGTGAAGGCCTCACTGTGACTTTGAGATGAAGAACAGCAATAAAAGCATTGTTCCTTTGCTTTCTGTGTGTTTTTTACTGTGCATGTATTGATTTTGTGTCATGGATGGATACCCCATATCCTTTGTTTTTCTATTAATATGGGTCAGTTGAAAAAGAAACTTCATGGCAAAAAAAATGATTTCAATTGTATTGTGAAATTTTCCATTTCTGTGTAACAACATTCTAGCAGCATATGAACTAGGAACTTATATCTCAAAGTTGATACCATATTCCAGGATTTGCTTTCCTATCATGATTTCATTGAAATAGGGTTATTGCACAAGAAATCTAGCATCAAGGATTTCAAATGGTAGAGTTTAATTCATTCCTTCAAAAGTTTTACAAACCCTATCATAATTAATCATGATTTGGTAAATCATTATGGAATATCGATGACCACAGATATGTTCTACTTGTTGAACAATTCCATCCAATTTTCCTCTGTTGTGACATTAACAAATGCCCTTTCACAATATTTTACTTGTTATAGATAACATGATGTGTGCAACTAGTGGAGCAAGAATTGGATACATGTTTTCATAATCAAGAGATAAGGATATTTTAAAATTTCCTTATTTCTTTTTTTATTTTTAGCCCACCTTGCCGAAGTGTGAGCTTTTCCAATCACTTGGCATCATCGTCTATTGTTCGTCATCATATGTTAACTTTTACAAATATCTTCTCCTCTGAAACTACTGAGCCAATTGGAAACAAAAATGGCCACAATCATCATTGGGTAGCTAGTAGAAAAAAATATGTCTGATGACCACACCTGACAACCAAGATGGCCAATATGGCTAAAAATAGAACATATGGGTAAAATGCAAGTTTTGTCTATTATTTTGAAAACTATTTTAAATAGAAAAAATCTGACAGGGGCAGAAATGTTCAGAATGTTGAGCTTACCTATTGCTCATTATTGTCAAAACTGTCAGCCGACTTCTTATAAAAATAAGAATAAGAGCATTTATTGTTCCAATTAAGAGCCCTTGATGAGCAGCATGACATTTATACACACAAAACAATAACGCAAGACAATATCTAAAAATAAGGCGAAAGGCCAAAACTCTTTGTGAAATTCAATTGTTATTGGAGTTATTGTCTTTAATCAGTTTAATGATGGTTTTTACCATTTTTTTCCTGTTATCTAGAAAACTCTGATAGAGAGACAGTTTAGGTAGCAAAAATTTCAGCAAGACAAGATCTACAAATAAGTAAACAAGGCTGAAATAGTCAGTGGTCTCATTTTTGGAGTTCTTGCTCTGTAATGACAATATTTAACAATTTTTAGTGTTTTTTACCTGTTATCTTGAAAACTATAATAGATTGATAGACACATCACTTTAGATAGCTAATTTGACCATAAAGACAATATCTACAAATGGAGAAACATAGTCTAAATCGTTAGTCAACTTGTAATTGGACTTCTTGCACTTAAATGACAATATTTAACAATTTTTGGCATTTTTGTCTATTACTGGGTAACTTGAAAACTTTTAAAGATAGATAGAAAATTTAAATCAAAAAAATGTTCAGCAAGGCAAGATCTACAAGCAAGTCAAATTTTTCTGATATAGTTAGTAAACTCTTTAAAGGAGTGATTGCCCTTAAATGAAGATTTTTCTTTCTCTTTTTGTGTTTCGGTCAAAAAGTAAAGAAGATGGAGAGAAACTAAACAGAAAAAAATTATCAGAATCAGCATTTTAAGATCAACAGAAAAGAGATTTTTGTCATGAATTTTATTCTAGTCTACAATATTGAAGAGTGGGTGAGTGACACAGGCTCTTTAGAGCTTCTGGTTTACTTAGAATTTTGGCAGTCAGCATTTCTCATTCACACTAACATCAGAAGTTGCAGGTAAGACACAGGGTCTGTGCAACTGTTTATGAAATTTTTTTTTATTCATAATTATGAATTATACAATGTTCTCTTCTTTATTATAGGTTGAACGCTTGTCATGTGATTAAAAAAGAGGCCTTGAACCTGGCATCAAAATTGCTGACAGAAATTTCTGAAGATAAAGAACCTGATTCAAATACAAAATGTCTACAGCACAACTTGTTTACAGCATTATCAGAGGAAAAGATTCTCCTCACAGAACCTTATAAACAGGCTGGTCCAGGGTTCATAGAATATCTCACAACACTGGCTAATTTGCTGCTATATCACTGTTCTAAGAGAGATAACTTGAAAGAAATCAGACATATGGGAGATAACTTAGTAGATTCTAATATGAAGGGAGACAATTCTGGTGAAAGCAACTTGAGAGGAGTAATTGTTCAAAATTCAATGGGAGACAACTCTTCAGAACTTGGATGTATAGGAGATAACTCTATTGAAGCTAGACTAATGTTGATATTGAATTGCTGTCATTATGAAATCAGGATGATAGGGTTGATGTATGTTCACAGTGTCTGTATTGACCAGGAGGCAGGAGATGATTTTCATGTTGTGTTTGAATGTGATTTACCATCTGTCAATGAGGAAACAGTTCAGAGGACTTTGTCTTCCACAGAAGTGTTGGGGAAATTGATACACATGGCATCAGATGAGACACACTTTGAATGTCAGAAGTTGGTAGGTTTAAAACCTGTTCATTATATAGAAACAAACAATCGATACTTCTTATTAAAAAGTCGTATCAATGTATTATACTCCCTATTTCAAAATTCAGGACACTTTGCCTAAACAATTCAGTCATCAGTAATTCTTTATTAGACTTTGCTTTATAAGTATGAAAAACAAGGATCCAAGTGTATAAATTTTTTATAAAAATATAAGTGAATATGAATGAAAAAGAATGGCGAAGATACCAAAGGGACATTCAAACTCATAAGTCAAATATAAAATGACAACGCCATAGAAAATAACAAAAAAAGACCAAAAGACAAATAACAGCATACAAAACACAACGTAGAAAACTGAAGACTGAGCAACACGAACCCCACAAAAAACCAGGGCTGATGTAGGGTACACATGAATGAGACAACAAAGCAACAAAAATACTTCCAAGAAGGCAATATACAGTCGTCAACAAAAGACAGGTGGTGTTTACACAATATACCAAGCTCTAAATTGTCAATAGTCTATAAAAGTTATGAGTTAATTTAACAGAAACATTAAAAAATCTGCCAATAAGACCCAGTTCTTTAAACAACGGGGTTTTTTTTATATTGAAAAACATAGTGCTAGTGGCTTCTTGATAATTTAAAATCTTCCTCATTTAAGAAAATTGAATCAATTCATTATCAAAGTTTTTATTGTGGCTATCTTTATTTGCTAGGTTTTCAGAGCACTAACGAACCATCCATTAATGCAGAAAGGCTCTTGGTTTAAAGATATAGATAACTTATTTCAGGTGAGTAGTCAAATCTTACAAATAGGTTGGTCAAAGGGAGATAACCAATATTTCAATCCTGTTTTGAACAGTCTCAGACAGGATTAGAGACTAATATTCCATTTAAAGGGAAATCACACTATTGTTTATACGCATCGCTCTCGGCGCCGCTATAGTGTCGTGACCGTATTATGACGTCGCCGTTTTGAGTCCGTCGTAAAGGTTGCTAATTTCTAAAATGGCGGCCCGCTCAAAGGGACGTTCACTAAAGCAAGAGAAAGCAAATGACGTTTTGATTTAAGTGCAAAAAATGAAAATGCTACTCAAAACGGACAAAATGTAAAAATACTAGTAGCCGAAAGTGGTCTTGATATGGTCTTGAATTACCTTACGATTGGGTTTAATTCAAATGAGTTACTCTCTTTAAATAAAGATATTATTATTATTATTATTATTATTGAGTTAGTATCTACATACAATACCATTTATACAATTATTTTTCTTAAAGGTTTATTAATTTCACCGAAAAATATTGTTAGATATGAGAAATATCAACATTTATTGTTGATCTGGTCTTTATTATTTGTAGCGAAATCCGTCAGCTCAACTTTTTTTTTGTAGAAAAACTTTTTTTATTTACTGTAAAGTTTATATTTTCATATATTAACAATTTTTTTTATCTCGCAGATTTCTTCGTTTCACGAAGAAAAAAAATATTTAAAAACAAAAGAGATATTTATAACACTTTTTGTCGATCATTTCAGTATAATCAAAGCGTACATCGGCGAACAATGAGTTTCGATGTTCCTTTGGTATCAAACGCCTCTCTCTCTCTCTCTCTCTCTCTCTCTCTCTCTCTCTCTCTCTCTGTTTCTTTTTTTTTTTTTTGGGAAGTGGGGTATGGGGGGAACAAACACATGCACACGAGTGATTCGTAGAGTAATCATATGTGTTGAAATATCAAACGTTATTTAAGAATAACGCCAGTTAAACATCACCGTAAAAGAAGCATACAAAATTTTACATCGGTTGCTGGCTATCGAAATCAAAGAAAATTTAGCACCGTATTATATAGTACATTATACGCAATCTTCCTTTAATGCTTGGTACAGGTTACATAATTTGGGCACAAAAAAAATCATTTTTTGTAGTATTTCTTCAAACTGTCAATTATAGCGAACTGTACGACCAGCAAGTTAAAAAATAAGGCCGCTAGACGTCAATATCAAACACTATGCCTAGTTATTTTTGTACTATTGATGACCGTACTACCTACAACAACAACAAAAAATCCACACTGTATATTTGGCTTTACAAGACTCCAACAAGAGAAATATTTAACACACACACATGTATTTATTTATTTAGAGTAACATGTCTTTCAGAGTGCTAATCTGTAACCATCACATTAAGGTCTGTCTTGTGAAAGAGTATACATTTGTGGTGATATTCATGTAATATTTGCCACTGAAAGTTTTGCAAAAATCAAGAAAAAAACGAAAACAAAAACAAAACAAAAACTAGTAATTCAGATGTAGGTTCGTGTTCAGATCACTCAATGTGATCACTTGCCTGTCAACAAACAGTGATATAGGGAGATTGTCAGATTCCGATCATGACTGTAAAGGACAACCATTTGTTTAATACAAAGGTAGCTGATTTACTCTTGATACCTTGGTTCTTTAGAAAAAACCGGCCAACATGATATAGCAGAGTGCTGAAAGTGGCACACACAATCAATCAGTTATTTTCAAATTACCTATCATTAATCAGTTTTGGCAAAAAAAGTATAAAGGCTATACCATACTGAAACATAAATGTGATAAAAGAATATACAATTCAAGAAAGAGAGGTGCACCAACAGAAAATAGAAACTGCAATCTTTCTTTTAATTTCATCCGATCTCAGATCTCAAAATTTTATATCTTACCAGAATTTATTCTATCTTACAGTATAACTCTGAAGTTTCTAAGTGGAACTCGAGCTTTAACTAGAACTCTTACTCGAATAAACATTCGAACTAAAAATAAAACTGGAACTTTAACTCTAAATTTAGCTGGAACTCAAATTCTTATTCTACATCAAAGGTTATCCACACTCTCATTTGTCATCTGATAAAAAAATTTGTAAGGGTTCCACGGAACCTAGTGTCTCGCCTACTTTTGCTGTTAATCGCAGGCTCAACAAAAATGAGGAAAAAAATCAATAAAAATATTCCTCTCGATACTATCTTTTGATTATAAGAAGCTTCTGTCCAAGTTTGGTATAAATCTAGGATAGTTTATGAATCTAATAAATGTTTTAAAAACTTTAACTGCATACTGTATGTAATGGTAACTGGAAGAAAAACTAAGTCCATTTATAAGTAAAATACGGATAAACAGGTACAAAATTTTGACAAAATTTCCTTCGAGATACAAGCATTTGATCATAAACAAGCTTCTGTCCAAGTTTGGTACATATCCAGGATAGTTTAAGAAAGTTATGGAAATCTTAAAAACTTAAACCACAGAGTGAATGTATTGTTTCCTTGCAGAAAAACTAAGTCAGTTTATAAGTAAAATACGAAAAAAAAAGATTTTTTTTTACAAAATTTACTTCTGGATACTATCTTATGATCATAAACAAGCTTCTGACAAAGTTTGGTACACATCCAGGATAGTTTAAGAAAGTTATTAAAAATTTAAAAACTCTAACCACAGAGTAAATGTATTGTTTCCTGGCAGAAAAACTAAGTCCATTTATAAGTCAAATATTGAAAAACAGGAATTTTATTTTTACAAAATTTACTTCTGGATACTATCTTATGATCATAAACAAGCTTCTGTCCAAGTTTGGTAGAAATCCAGGATAGTTTAAGAAAGTTATTAAAACTTCAAAAACTTTAACCACATAGTGAATATTTGTGGACGTCCACTGCTGCCTCCGCCGACGACGACGCCGATTGACGGAATGTAGGATCGCTATGTCTCACTTTTTCGACTAAAGTCGAAGGCTCGACAAAAAACTAGAGTTAGATAAAATATATCGATATTTCCACAGAAACACGGATAGATGTAGCAGAACAAGAAAAAAAAACTAGATCCGTTTATTACAAATTAAAAGATTTTTTTAAATACATCAACTGGGAACATTATATGTTCCTGATATCAATATGGCGATGTGTATTTCATTGTAAATTAACTCTAAATTATCAGATGCATTGTATTTCTCATAACATACCAACGTTGAGCGATTAATCGAACGGTAATAAAATATACGTAATACATAAAGTTTTAATACACAGGCGATGAACATTGAACATATTATGTACAATGAACATGCAACGATGTATGAAAAATGGGTGCGGGATGATAGAACTCAGAAAAAAATTTGGTTTCCACAGTTCGAATAAATTATGAAGCGTTGTGTAATTACGGAACCAATTTTAAATTTCTACCGAAAATAGGTTTGTTTTAACGTGCTGAGTTTGTGGCATTTTTTAACACGGCATTTCAGGTTTTATCTTCCCGGTGCGAATGGACAAGCTAGTGAAATTATGGTAACGAAATTATTCTGCCTGCAGTCTAAAAGGAACGTGTTACTTTTCAGCCCAGATACCCTCAGTCTTCCGAGGTAGAAGATTCTTTATCTGAAAGCCGAAAATTATTTCTATAATACGGCATGAGGCAAACATTCCTTTTCCCCATACAACAAATGCAATTTAAATAAAATGCTCCGCAGGGCCCAGCTTGATACGACCGCAGAGGTCGAACCCTGAACAGTTGGGGCAAGTATGGACACAACATTCAAGCTTGATACAGCTCTGAATTTGGATTGTGATTAAATATTTGACACAGCATAGGTTTCTGACACAGAATGAATGTGGTCTAAGAACTTAAAAATTTTAAATTGGACATTCACCTATTATGGTCCAATATCCAAAATCTAAATACATGGATAGATTCAGCATATCAAAGAACCCCAAGAATTCAATTTTTGATGAAATCAAACAAAATTTAATTTTGGACCCTTTTGACCTCAATGTGAACAAAGTTGATAACGGGGCCCAAAAATCAAAAATCTAAATACATGGTTAGATTCAGCATATCAAAGAACCCCATATATTCAATTTTTGTTGAAATCAAACAAAGTTTAATTTTGGACCCCGATTTGGACCAACTTGAAAACTGGGCCCATAATCAAAAATCTAAATACATGTTTAGATTCAGCATATCAAAGAACCCTAAGAATTCAATTTTTGTTAAAATCAAACTAAGTTTAATTTTGGACCCTTTGGACCTTAATGTAGACCAATTTGAAAACGGAACCAAAAATTAAGAATCTAAATACACGGTTAGATTCAGCATATCAAAGAACCCCAATAATTCAATTTTTGATGAAATCAAACAAAGTTTAATTTTGGACCCTTTGGACCTCAATGTGGACCAATTTAAAAACGGGGCCAAAAAACCCCATTGAAATTGGTCAAGAAATAAGCAATTTATACGAAGTATCTTTTTTTGCACAATACTGTGCAATTGAATATTTCTTGCTATTGCGCAATACTGTACAATTGACAATTTCTTGCTATTGCGCAATATTGTGCTATTGGATATTTCTTGCTATTGCGCAATACTGTGCAATTGAAGATTTCTTGCTATTGCGCAATACTGTGCAATTGAAGATTTCTTGCTATTGTGCAATACTGTGCAGTTGAAAATTTCTTGCTATTGCACAATACTTATTATATAATAATTTACACATCCTGTTTGGTGTGTATCTCCTACCATATCATTATTATTTGCTTTTAAATATAAATCAGAAATAACCAACTTAAAATAGAAAATTTTAAAAGAAAAAAAAAAAAAAAAAAAGAAAAAAAAGGATAAAAATAAAATCCCCCCCCCCCCCAATTTTTTGAACCCCCTTATGATTCATCACCCCCAAACTCAATCCCAGCCTTCCTTTTGTGGTATGGTACCTTGCAGTACAATTTCAGAGAGATCCATACGCTTGAACACAAGTTATTGTCTGGAAACTAGAAAAATGTGTTTTTTGGCCCCTTTTTGGCCCCAAATTCCTTAACTTTTAGGGCAATTACCCCCAAACTCAAACCCACCATTCCCTATGTGATATGGAACCTTGTGGTACAATGTCAGAGAGATCCATACACTAACACACAAGTAATTGTCTGGAAACTAGAAAAATGCTTATTTTTGGCCCCTTTTTCCTAAATGTTTTGGGCAATTACCCCCAAACTCAATTCCAGCTTTCCCTTTGTGATATGGAACCTTGTAGTACAATTTCAGAAAGATCCATACACTTACACACAACTTATTGTCATGAAACTAGAAAAATGCTTGTTTTTTGCCCCTTTTTTGGCCCCTAATTCCTAATATTTTGAGGCAATTACCCCCAAAATCAATCCCAGCATTCCCTGTGTGATATGGAACGTTGTGGTACAATGTCAGAGAGATCCATACACTAACACACAAGTTATGTCTGGAAGTTACAAAAATGCTTATTTTTGGCCCCTTTTTGGCCCCTAATTCCTTAACTGTTGGTACCAAAACCCCCAGAATCAATCCCAACCTTCCTTTTGTGGTATTGAACCTTATGGTAAAATCTCATAGAGATCTATTTACTTAAACTAAAGTTAGAGTGCGAAAACCAATGTGTCTTCGGACGACGCCGGACGACGACGACGACAACGACGACGACGCCAACGTCATACCAATATACGACCGCAAAAATTTTTGCGGTCGTATAAAAATGAGATGACTTCAACTTTGACAATTACTTTATAATAAACTGTTCAGTATTGTATCTATGTTAACGATTCGATAGATTGATAAAGATATCAATGAATAATCAAAATACCTTAAAAAATATTCAAAAATGATATTATATTTTGTAGTGAAAAGGTTTAATTCAACCTAAGCGTTGCAAGAAATGCTGTTATGCCAGCAATGTTCTATAACGTTAAAAGGTTATAGTTCCCGCCAAAATTCAATAATAAAGATTATTTCCGTTTTAGCGGATTTAAAACATCGGTGACCCCCCTTTTTTATTTATGCTTTTAAAATCTCCCCTGAAGCTGCAACTTATGCAGAAGTTTGAAGGGAAAAACATTAGTAGATTTTTTTTTATTTCAAGAAAAATCTATTATAAATAGCAATTAAAAATGGCGGGAAATGTTCAAATGCCTTCAAAAATAAGGAAACCAAGACAAATAAATGTTCATAAGGTATAAGTTACATTTGACTGTTTTTGTTATTCCAGTTAAACATGGTTTTTCAATAAGTTTGTCTTTTTCTAACAATTTAGAGCGGTATTTCTATATTTCGTTATAACGCGATTCTTTAAATTTTGATGACGTCATATCTCGAAAACAACATCGGTGACCCCAATTTTTTTTTCGCCTAAAATTTTTAATAACTATGATCTGTCTACATGCAAAATTTCAATGAATTATTATTAGTATAAATAGTGTGATTTCCCTTTAAGGATGTTCATTACTTTTGTTTTTGACTTTTTTGTTAGATATTTGGAATCCTCTAGTATTATCTATGTGGTGCCAATCAAAAATTTGCTTACTAAACCCTACTTTTCTTTTCATAATTTTATTACATTTAGAGTAAAAGCCATTATTGAAAATTTTATAAAACCTTGTTATATTTTTTATAGTTTTTGAACGATAAAAGGTGCCAATGTTAAATGTATAGAAAATTTAGAGAGAATTGTTCCTGCCAATTTTCAATTGTATATATCATTGGTGGACCAAGAGGGGTGCTTGCTGGATCTGCACCTGCTAGGGTCACTGAAAGTAGCATAAAACAGCAAACAACAAACAATCAAATAACCTTTTGACCTCAAAACCTTAACTTTCACATATAGAGCATGCATTGCAATTTTTATAAATTGTTGATTTTAAATATGTTTTAAATTTAATTTTTCAGCTTTTCCAGCATTGTATGAATTTCATTGAAACTTGTTCCAGGTATGTTGTCTGACTATTTGTCTTTTATGATACAAATTTCATGAATTTAAATGTGCTTATCTCAAATATTTTGTATTGTTGGGTTGCTGTCATTTATTCTTCAGTTTTAGATAGCAAAACACCCTGCACTAAATTCAACATTTTTTATGAAAATCCACCATTGATCATTAATGAAGACAAACTGATATTTAAAAAAAAATAGGAAAATATTTTTAATCAGCATGAATTATCTTCCTTGGCATATTTAGTAATATTAATAGGTGTAATACCACCATTGTTTTTCCCCTATAAGTCTTTGTTAAATTTGCACTATTATCAAACAAACTACCAAAATGGAAGAAAATACACACAAAAACTTACATGAAAACATAAGGTGAAAAAGTGTGACTTGGTACCTGCAAAAAAATAGATCTGTTGAAGATTTTTTTTTTTTATGAAAATCCACCATTGATCATTAATGAAGACAAACTGATATTTAAAAAAAAATAGGAAAATATTTTTAATCAGCATGAATTATCTTCCTTGGCATATTTAGTAATATTAATAGGTGTAATACCACCATTGTTTTTCCCCTATAAGTCTTTGTTAAATTTGCACTATTTAAAAAATTGTGTTAAATAAAGGAATACTTGGCATGAGTAAAGTTTTATCCTGTCCAGTACTATAGACAAAATTTCACAAAACATTTCATTGCATATAAGATAATAATCATCACTGGAAGTTAACCAATCAAATATCACCCCTTTCTTTCCTGTTTACAAGTTTAGTAACCATGTAACCTCAAGTTTCCAAAATATTTTATAGAAACACCAAATAAAAAAAGAATGGTGCTTTGAAATACCCAAGATATATGTTTATGACTCAGAAATTTTTTACTGCAATGAAATGTAGGATTAAATAGCAGTGAAGTAGACTAGAAAGGGCTGAACAAGAAATAAAGTATCCGCGTAAATGAGTTGGTTTACAGTATTCCTACATTGGCATTTATCTATATTAGGCAAACTGATTTTGATTTTCATTTTAAAGTCAACTAACAAGCTACAAAGACAAGTTAATAAAAGTGTAAAAAAAAAAAAGGAATTTAAACAAAACAATTGTTAAAAAGAAATTTACTGAACAACAAATTTAGTCCATACATTTTGCAATATTTTAGTTATAAGGGAAGAGGGCTAGACCTGAACAAACACAGAATTTTTCCATTTTATTAGCCTAATCAGAATTTTGGTATCTCACTTGTGACAAAAACACAATATTTGCAGATTTGTCAGCAGTTTGATCATCCGGTGAACAATATTAAATTGTCACATTTTCTCATCCCTGAACCTTTTATAGGTTTCTAAATTGTATGGGTTTTGCTCATTGTTGAAGTGACATATAGTTGATACATCCACTTCATTTGAACTTTGGTGGATAGTTGTTTCATTGGCAAGCATACCACATCTCCTTATCTTTTTTTAACTTTAAGTTAATGTGCCATCACATACAAAGTTATCTAATTGTTGAAAGATATAAAAATAAGATAATGTTTAATAATTGTCAATGAGACAACACTCCACCAGAGACCAAATGACACAGAAGCTCACAACTATAGGTCACCATAAGGCCTTCAACAATGATCAAAACCAAAACCGCATAGTCAGCTATAAAAGGCCCTAAAATGACAAATGTAAAAAAAATTCAAACGAGAAAAATAATGTTCAAAACAATAAGAAAAACACAAATATGATATACAGCAACAAACGATTACCACTGAATCACAAGCAGGCTATACATGTTTGCTTGCACCAAACCCTCCCCTAACCTGGCACAGTGGTGTAACAGTACAACATAAAAACAAACAATAAAAACCATTTGAAAAGGGTTCAACTCATCAGAAACTTATTACACTCACATGTACATTACTGCAATATAGAAATTAGACAGATCACTGAAAAAATAATTTCATGTGAACAGTTTCAGTTTGAATATGAGTATATATGAAGGCATATGTAAATGAGACAGCAACCCAAGAACACAAACCACAAAATCAAAACTTTGTTCCAGATAGGTTGTCTTAATAGGTCTTGTATGTTAAAAATTTCATGAACTTTTTTCTTAAACGTGCTTACATTAGGGCTGAGCAAAACAACCAAACAGTAGTTGACTAGACAACTTAGATCCTATATACTTGAGAGACTAATCTCAATTCAAGTAAAATTACTCCTTGGGATAATTATGAATAGTTATTATTGTTTTTTCTTTAAGTATTAAAATATCCTCTGTTTTCACTCAGCTATGATATAACAAAAATACTGTTTTTTTAGAGATGAACTTAGGTCAGAGGTCATACAGTTGACAGGATTCCTAGTTGGACCATTAGTGAAGCATGTTGCAAAGGTATGTTATTTATTTGGAGCATACGACATAAGTAATTCATCATTTCAGAATCTAATGCATTATGGGTAATATTTTAAAAAGCTTCCAACAAAACATTGTGATTGGTGGTTAAATCATTAACAATGGATAGCTGGCATATGGTATGTTGTGATGCAATGATTGGAAATTCTGAAAATAACAAATTATCTGGTTTTATTGAAGCAAAAGAATGAAAATCTGATCAAGAAAACACCATTTATTGATTTTATGGGCAAGACATAAATGGCTACATAAGGGAGCTACCATTTGATTTTTATGGGGGCTAGGATGAAATTTGAAAAAAATAGGCAGGACAGGAGTTTTGAGTAAAAAAAAAAGGCAGGATGAGACACTTGTAAAAAAAAAAGTCAGGATGACAATTTAGGTAAAAAAAAGTCAGGATAAACTTTAAAAAAAAAAGGCAGGACCGAATAGAGTGAAAAATATAAAGGCAGGACAAAGATTACAACTAAAAAAAAATGCAGGACAAAATTTTTCATCCTAGCCCCCCCCCCCCCCCCCCCCCCCCATAGAAATCAAATGGTAGCTCCCTAATCTTGGTGCTTTTTACTAAAAACAAAGTACATAATACTTGTTTCTAATATAAATCTAATTTAAGTAAGAACATTTTATTTAAAGTCAGTATATATGTGCATTATAACAAATCAAATCACAAGCTCTGCTGAGCTCTTTAGCTGACTATCACTTAAAAATTCACACAGTTTCATGCAAAGCAAACAATAAAAAGGGCATGCAAATACAAGCGAAGTGTATCAAAGTTGATTTCTGGACCTCCACAGGCACTGCCCATGTGGCAAGTGTCTATGCACTGACAAATTAACAAAACTATCAAACTAAAAGCAATGAAATAAACTTTTGAATAATTAAGCACTGGCATTCAAAAATCAACTATATTTAGTTATGTAAAATTGCAGAGTAAACGGGCAGAAAAGGCATTAATGAGTCACACAATTTTTAAAGTTACAAAATGTATAATCTAAATGCACTTTAATTTCTAATTACTACTGGTATCTCGATGTTTAAGCAAAAATGCTTGAAATATTTGACTTTAATACTGTAATATACTATAGAACCACAATATAAACTAAGCCCTTGTGATAGCATCTGTAAATCCTGTTCATAAAGGTCAAGTTCTGTTCAAAACTCATCTATGTAAAAAGAACAGAGTTATCCCTCTTTGGATGTGATTTTTTTTTTTTTTCAAATCTTAGCTGCCACAGATATCCTCATTATAAAGGATTATTACTGTAATTTGCAATTGTTCCATCATTCATTTAAGTTCTTATTGAAAAATTTCCCCCAGAATGCACTTTTCCCCCCTATTAAGTATTTGTCATAGTAGTGGACTCTGGGACCATATCATTGGATGTCATCTATATCTGTATTGTGTTCCCCATGACGGAAATTTTTGTTGATGACAGATTTTTTACGGAATTTTTCTCGACTATAGGTAATATATATAAGAGCCTAACATTTGACATTGACACTTGTCTTTGTTGAACTTTAGATGTCCTTTTGCTTTTATGGTGTTGTTGGGTTGGGCTGTCCCATTAAACTTTTCCCCTATATCAATATAACATTGGGAAATATGGAATGATTACAAAGGAGACAACTGTCCACCAAAAGACGAGGATGTAAACATACAACCTTCAACAATGATCAAAACCCAAAACTTAATATTAGGCTATAAAAGGCCTAGGATTACAAATGGTAAAACAATACAACAGAGAAAACTGAATAGCCCGATCAAATCTTTTACGATTTAAAGCATTGCAATAAACTTTTACATGATGGAAGTTGACAAAAAATTGTCTTTGGCTTTGCTTTAGGACGGGATATTCTATACACGATAAAAGGTGAAAAAAATAATCTTTGACTTTGCTTTAGGATGGGACTTTATACATGTTACAAGGTGACAAAAAATCATCTTTTACTTTGCTTTAGGATGGGATACTTTATACATGTTACAAGGTGACAAAAAAACATCTTTGACTTTGCTTTAGGATGGGAAGCATGGGATATGTGAATTCAAATCACATCCGTCACATTACAGCTGTTCATTATCCATTCCTGTAATAAAACACTAGTTCGAGGCAGATATATATTAGAACCTTTAATTTTAATATATATATTACGATCAAACTGCATTATTCAATAAATGCCCTTTTAGTACTTATTTCCAGAAGTCCAAATAAGTTCATAAAGTTCATAAAAGTTACATAGATTGCAGGCATTTAGAAAATATTTAAAAAATTGCTAGTACATGTATGTACATCAAAGATGAGCATCCAATTACATATGTATATTTAATTACATATGTATATGAAATTAAATCACCTAGTCATCAGCACTTTACAGAAAATGACATGTATTTTAATGAGGGGACAGATGCAATGACATTATAAACTGGTGCACATCATGACCTTAAATTCTGATGTATTTAGTAAAATATGTCATAGGCTGGCGTCATCATTCTACTACGCCAGGGGGGAGATGTTGCTGATGAAACTTGTCATCTGACCTAGATTCTGGACAAGGTAAACCTAATTGACATTTAATTATTGTTTATTTTGCGGTATCTGATATGTAATATTATATGTTATATAATCGCCTATGATTAATATTGTAATACATGTTGCATTCCGCAGAAGTTGAATGTTTCTACGTTTAATAAAATAGATATCAAAAGTGACAAGTATTTTCCATTTATTTTTTTATTTTTTGTTAATTGTTACACATCCCAAATCAAAGCAATGTTTTGTAAGAAAAATAAAAAATCGTAAGAAGTAGAATCTGTAGGGTCCCTTTTTGGCCCAAAATTTTTTTTTCCATTTCCAGATGAAAAGTGTTTCAAGTTGATGCAAATATATGTGAGAAACTTAAAACGGACAATTTTTGACAAGTTTTTTTCAGGCATAGCGTTGCCAGTTACACTCCAATGGGGTCCAAAATATAGAGATTTTTGTGTAAGTTGATGAAATCTTCTGGATTTTGTATTGCAATTAAGCCTAGGAAACATAAACTAAATTTTCAAGTCAGAAAAAGTTCAGATTTTATTACAAAAAAAATGTTAAAAAAATCTTGTAAGTCATCACATGGGCTATAGGTTTCCAGTAAACAAAAAACTATTGAAACATACATGTTTTCATTTATTTTGGTGGAAAATTAAGATATATGCTAACTATTGACGTCATATAAAGAACGCCTTTACGTAAATTTTCAAACAAAAATACCTTTCTAGTCATTGTTAAAGCTATGATACATTGTGATAATGTCCATTAAATCCTAATTTGAAAATAAAGCTTAAAAAATAGAGGCCATATTACACACTGATCGATCAAACTGCTTTGTTTGAAGTAATATGAAGGAGTATTTACCATGATGCTAGACTGAAAAATTTTAAAATAAAAAATTAATATAGTTCCAGTCTTTTTTATTTATCTATTATTAGAGTTATCTTTCTTTGCTCATATTTTCATAAATTCAACCTCCAAAGAAATGTAACAGGTGTTGATAACAATCTTCATATTGGTCTAAATATTTGAATAATTATAATATTATATGGCGCAAATTGGAAAAATCTGAAACAGATTTGTTGTAAAATAAATTATATTTCATTATATCAACGAATCATTTGTTTAAATAATCACTAGACTTATTGACAATAAATCAACATTGTCATTTTGACAACCAAGGGGGAATGGTCAGTTCATAAGAAGTTTGACCCCTCAATTCTTGGTCAGTCAGGTGATTACATAATTTTAACTTTAAGCAGATATTTAATTGTTTCAAAATTTAGTGAGATCACATTTCAATTGAAAGAAAAGAGATACTGTGGGTTCATTTAGAATATTGTACCTGGTAGCGATATCTTACATAAAATAGAACATTGTAAAAAGCTGAAAGACGTGCAACATCTCAAGATTCTTATCAAGAAAGAGGTAGAGGACAAATATAAAGTTTTAATTAAAAAAATTAATTTAATAGTTATGATGAAAAAAGTAAGTTATTTTTATACAAAAACATAAAACTTGGTCAAGATAAAGAATTTTACTTGTATTATAAGAAAGTGTTTCACCAAACTCCGTATAAGTGACCACAATCTTGAAATTGAAAAGGGTAGATATTTAAAAATCCATCGAGAAGATAGACTTTGCAAACTATGCAATGTTCTTGAAAACGAGGAACATTTCCTCTTGGAGTGTAGTATAAATAATGAATTAAGATTGGATCTATCTAAAAAATTAAAATGGGAAGACGAATTTATGTCACTTCCAAAAGACCAAAAAATTATTAAATTATTAAACCCTATACCAACAGAACATGTGAAACTAATCGGCTATTTTTTGAAACAGTCATTAGAACTGAGGACAGAAGCAGCTTAATTTTTCATATTTTTTTTTTATATATATACATATATATAAATATTTCTTGACTGCATTAATGATTAATGATTCATGTTCAATTTATATTGCATTGATATATATATATATATAAATATGTCTAAACAAGTGACAACTCTACGACAGATCCATCCATTGGATCACCAGTGAATGTGATACACAGCTGAAAACACATTACTCTAAAATTTGCGGAAGCTATAATTATGTATGTTTTTGTCACAAACATGTTTACAGATTACAGTAGTTGTTGTCTGTTTATGTAGTTCATACATGTTTCTCGTTTCTCGTTTTTATATAGATTAGACCGTTGGTTTTTCCGTTTGAATGGTTTTACACTATGCCGTACCTTGACCTATAATGGTTTACTTTTATAAATTGTAACTTGGATGGAGAGTTGTCTCATTGGCACTCATACCACATCTTCCTATATCTATTAATTTGTTTATATGACAATATAAATTATTATATAATAAGAAATTTATTTTCTTGGGTACTAATTTTTTTAGCATTGATGAAAATTTGTATTTTCATGGATACTGCATTTCATTGTTTTGCCAA